GCGCTGTGTCAATTCATCTCCTTGGGTTTCTTCCTCACTTTTGTTGATCCTCCACATTTTCAAGCATGTTGTCCTTCTCCAGGCGCTGGCTCTTCCTGGTAAAATGTGTGAACTATGAGAGACAAAGTTTTGCTGTTCTCAGTGTCATAGGATAAGCACTGGGCCACAAGGTCGGTTTAAACTGCAAGGTCAGCAGTTCAAACTCACCAGTTGCTCCTCAGATACCCTATACAGGGTCAATATGAGTCAGAAGCTAATCAGTAGTAATTAACAGCAACAACAACATATATACACATGTGAGGGTGAATCAAAAATTATTATCACTCCAATTATATTAAAACGCCTGTCCACGGATCCATGGCTGATGACGACATTGAAGGTGCACGTGAAATGATTCTGTCAAATACATAAGTGACAATGGATTCTGTGGCAAATCATTTGTAAATCAGCAATGGCTTTGCTGATGAAATAATCCATAACAGACTTGAGTTTCGAAAAATTTGTATGAGTTATTACCAAAACAACTCACAGAGGAACATAAACAAAAGCATTTGGACATCTGCAAACAAAATTTGGACTGATATCAAAGGAAGGTAAAATTTTCTTTAAAAAAAAAAAATTGTTACTGGTGACAAGACATGAATTCATCGCTCCAAGCTTGAGAGTAAATGGTAGAGTATGGTATGGAAACATCCTAAACTTTGGGTTAAATGCAGAGGACTGCTATCCAAGGGCATTGTGATCTTGCCTGACAATGCACATTCTCATACCTCTGCCCACACTGTTGACACTCTGCAGAAACTTCATTTTGAGTTGTTAAATCATCCTCCCTATAGTCCTTATCTAGTTTCATTGAACTTTCACCTGTTTGGTCCCCTAAAAACAGCCTTTCGAGGACAATGAGTCACTTCTGATGAAGAAGTGAAGACAGCTGTGTATTCGTGGCTTGCATCTCAGCCGAAAGCAATTTTTAATAAGGAAATGTGAAAGCTTGTTGACAAATGGAGAAACTGTATTGAAAAGCAAGGAAATTGTGTCAAAAAATGATGTATTTGTCTTTTCTAAAAAGTGATTAAAATAATTCTGCCTGGTCCTGTACCAACCTCACGATTGTCACCTTTGAGTCCATTGCTTGCAACTATTGTGTCAATCAGTCTCCTTTGAAGTCTTCCTGTTTATCAGTGAGTCCTCCACTTTACCAAGTATGATGTCCTTCTCCAGGGATTGGTCCCTCTTGATAACATGTCCAAAGTATGAGTGATGAAATTTACCAAATTGGCTTCTACACGTCATACTGGTTATTTTCATCCAAAACACATCTGTGGTTCTTCTGGCAGTCCATGACACTCTTAGTATTCTTCTTTAACACCATAATTCAAAGACACTGATTCTCCTACAATCTTCCTTACTCATTGTCCAATTTTCACATGCATAGGAGTTGATTGGTTTCTTGACTATTGCTTTCTTGAGCTTTGATTGTGGCTCCAAGCTACTTGAACTGTAGATCCAAAACTCTGACAACTTTAATTTTTTCTCCATTTCTCATGATGTTATTTATTAGTACAGTTTTGAAGATTTTTCTTTTTTACATGAAGATGCAATCCATACTGAAGTCTGAAGTCTTTGATCTTCATCAGTAAATATTTAAGTCCTCTTCACTTTCAGCAAAGGAGGTTGCAACATCTGCATATCACAGGTTGTTAATGAATTTTCCGTTAATCCTGGTGCCACAATTTCCTCATATACTCTAGATGCTTGAATTATTTGCTCAGTATACATTTTGAGTAAGTATGGTGAAAGAATACAACTCTGGCACTCACCTTTCCTAATTTTAACCCATTCATTATCCCTTTTTGTTCTCTTCTAACAACCACCTCTTGGTCTATGTACAGTTTCCTCACAATAAAAATTAAAAAATTTGGAATACTCACTCTTCACAGTGTTATCCATATTTAGTCATGATCCATACAGTTGAATGCCTTTGAACAGTCAATGAAACACAAGTTAACATCTTTCTTATATTCTCTCCTTTCAGTTAAGATCCACCAGACATCTGCAATGTATCCATAGTTCCATGTCCCGTTTAGACTGTTGCGTGAGTTTCTGCATCCAGCTGAAACTAACAGTTCCCTGTCAGTGTATTATTGCAATCATTTTTAAATTATACTCAGCAAAGTTTTACTTGCATGTGATGCTAATTATATTGTTCAATAATTTTCTCATTCCATTGATTCGCCTCTCTTTGGAATACGCACAAAAAAAATCCTCCAATTGGTTGACCAGATAGCTGTCTTCCAAATTCTTGGCACATGTGAGTGAGTGCCTCTGGTGTTGCATTTGTTTGCTGATATGTTTCAATTGGCATTATGTTAATTTCTGGAGACTTACTTTTTATTTGTTTGTTTGCTTTTTGTTAATGCCTTTAGCACTGCTTGCATTTCTTCCTTCAATGCCAAGGTTTCTTGATCATATGGTACTTTTTGAAATGGTTGAGCACTGACCAATTCTTTTCAGACAATGACTGGATATTCCTTCCATCTTCTCTTCATGTTTCCAGCATCATTCATATTTTGCATGTTTGTTGTTGTTGTTGGTAAGTGCCATCGAGTCAGTTCCGACCCATAGCAACTTTGTGTAGGGTTTCTGAGGAGCAGGTGGTGATCTTGAACCACCAACCTTGCAGTTCAAACCGATTTTGCAGTCCAGCATATTAACCCTTAATACCATTCCAGGACTCCTAGAATCCTTCAGTATTGCAACCATAAGCTTGACTTTTTTCTGTTATTCTTTGAAGATGAGAAATGTTGAGGGTGTTGTTCCTTTTTGGTTTTCTTACTCTAGGTCTTTGCAAATTTCACTCTATTTGGCTTTGTTTTCTCTAGTTGCCCTTTGTAGTTCTCTGTTCAACTCTTATTATTATTATTATTATTTATATATTTGCTTTAGTTTAGCTTGTCTACACTCAAGAGCAAGGCAAGTTTCACAGTCTTTTAAAAATGATACCCACTTTTATCATTTCATTTTTTCCTATCTTTTTAAAGATCATTTACTTTCTTTATATATGGTGTTTTTGATGTCATTCCACAGCTCTACTGGTCTCCAAATATTAATGGTTAAAACATCAAATTTGTTCTTGAGATAGTCTCTAATTCAGGTGGGATATATTCAGATCATATTTTGGCTATTGGGCAATTGTTTTAACTTTCTTCAGCTTCAGCCTGAACTTACATATGATTAATTGATAGTCTATTCTGCAGTTTTCCTTGGCCTTGTTTTGGTTGATGAAATTGAGCATTCCCATCATCTCTTCCAACAAATATGGTCAGTTTGATTCCTGTGTATTCCACTGGTGAGGCCCATGTGTATGTTGCTTAAAAAATGTATTTGCAATGAATAACTTATTATTCTTGAAAAATTCTGTCATGCGATCTCCAGCATTGTTTCTATCATCAAGGCCATATTTTCCAACTCGTGATTCTTTCCCTTTGTTTCCAACTTTTGCATTTCAGTCATGAGTAATTATCAATGCATCTTAATTGCATGTTCGATCAATTTCAGACTAAACAATTTGATAGATTTCTTTAGTTTCATCATCACTGCCTTTAGTGGTTGGTAGGTAAATTTGCATAATAGTGGTATTAACTGGTCTTCCTTGTAAACATACGGATATTATTCTATCACAGACAGCATTGAATTTCAAGAGAAATGTTGAAACATTATGTTCTTTTTGAAGATGAATGTGATTCTATTTCTCTTCAATTTGTCATTCCCAGCATAGTAAAACTAAATGATTGATTCAAAATTGTCAACTCCAGTCCATTTCAGCTCATTAATGCCTAGGATATTGATCTTTATGTGTTTCATTTCATATATGGCAATTTCCAATTTTCCTAGATTCATACTTCAAACATTCCACATTCTGAATGTTAATGGAAATTTGCAGCTGTTTCTTCTTAGTTTTAGTTGTGACACATCAACACACGAAGGTCCCAAAAGATTTACTCAATTTACATAACCAATGTAAACTCTAATTTGGAGAGGCAGCTCTTCCCCATACATATTTTGAGTGTCTTTCAACCCAAGGTGATTCTCTTCAGGCACTTTATCTGACAGTGTTCTGCTTCTTTTCATTATGTTTTCATAATGACTTCCAAAGTGGTCACCTTTCTTTCTTCCCAGTCTGTCTTAGTCTAGAAGCTCTGCTGAAACCCGTCCACCATGGATAACCCTGCTGGTATTTAAAATACTGGTGGCAAAACTTGCATCATCACAGCAATGCATAATCCACCACAGCATGGCAAACTGATAAATTAGTGATGTCTGTATATATAGACTGCTGGTGTGGCACTGTAGGACCATCATGTGAATCACAAGATCGGTAGTTCAAACCCACCAGCTGTTCCTCAGCTACCTTATATTGTTGTTGTTGTTGTTAAGTTCCGAGGAGTCAATCCCTATCCATAGCGACTCTGTATAGAGTTTCCAAGGAGCAGCTGGTGAGCTCGAACCACCGACCTTGCAGTTCAAACGACTTTACAGTCTGATGCATTATCCCACAGCATCACACAAGGACTCCCCTTCAGGGTCGCTATTAGTTGAAACTTACTCAATGACACTTAACAACAACAATACATGTATATGTGTAGCTTAGTTGTTACAAATTGGGTTACTGATCTCAAGGTCAGCAGTTCGAAACTACCAGCTGTTCCACGGGAGAAAGATGAGGCTTTCTAATCCAATAAAGTTTTACAGTCTAATAAACCCTGTACAGGGTCACTATGAGTTGGAACTGACTTCATGGCACATAACAACAGCAACAAATATCTATCTGTCTATCTATCTATCTATGTATCTATCTATCTAGTGCATTGATTTTACTTATTCTTTTTCCAAGGGAAAGAAATAAAAGTAAATCACATTAATGCTTTAAATTCCTTTACATATGAGAGTATTGAGTAACTATAATTTGGCTATAATAATATTAATTTAATATATTAAAGTTGTTCTAGAAGCAGCGGCCAGAGGGGACCCGGCAGCTAAGAGCGGGGAGCGGGGGCCGATATCCTTAGCGCCCCCTCCCTGGGAGGTCGAACCGAGTAGTGGGGTCTGCATCGTGGTAGAGTACTGTGAACCCTGTGGCTTCGAGGCGACCTACCTGGAGCTGGCGAGTGCAGTGAAGGAACAGTATCCTGGCATCAAGATTGAGTTGCTCCTGGGGGAAACAGGGGCCTTTGAGATGGAGATCAATGGACAGCTGATATTTTCCAAGCTAGAGAATGGGGTCTTTCCTTATGAGAAAGATCTCATGGATGCTATCCGAATAGCCAGTAATGGAGAGCCTTTAGAAAAGATCACCAACAGTCGTCCTCCCTGCGTCATCCTGTGACTGCACACCATCCTGGGGTCCAAGTCTTGGTCTCCTCTGTGATCTAATTGGGGCTCCCCCTCTGCCTCTTCCCTCACTGGTACCCTGGCCTCCACTTTGTACCTTGGAGGAACAAAAGCTTCTGTGATCTTGGGGATGGAAGAGAGACCCTCACTATGGACATTTCCACAGACATCTTAGACCCTCTTCCCAGGATTAGTGCTGATATGAGCCCATTCCCCAGACCCATTATTTCTCAGATTGTAGAATGAATTGATTCATCTTCAGCCAAGGTAACTAACCTCAGCTATTGGCAATAAAGTAACACTACAAATAAATAAATAAATAAATAAATAAATAAATAAATAAATAAATAAATAAATAAATAAAGTTGTTCTAAATGATTATGTTGTTGTGAAATGCCTTTGAGTTGGTTCCGACTCATAGCGACCCTCTCTATAGGATTTTTGAGCTGCAACTGGTGAGCTTGAACTGCCGATCTTGCAGTACAAATAGCTTTGCAGTCTGGCACATAAACCCACAATGCAACCGGGCCTCCTAAATGATTATGTTGATATTGTTGTTGTTGTTAAGTACAGTGGCGTTGTTTCCAACTCATAGTGACCCTGTACAGGGTTTCCGGGGCTGTAAATCTTTATGGTAGCAGAAAGCCTCATCTTTCTCCCGCAGAATGGCTGGTAGTTTTGAACTGCGGACTTTGAGGTTAGCAGCCCGATTTGTACCCACTACGCTAAATGAGCATCTTTATTTTAGTGTAAACATCTTTCCTGTGTGCTGGTTTACCTTAGGGGTGCTGCCACTCAAATTTCCCAGACTCCATTTCTCTAAATTTCTTCCTACTTCCATGTGTTTCAGTGGTCAGTGACACCATATTTTACTGAGGTTTGCAAGATAGAAACTTTGGAATCAGACTTTATTGCCATTCCTGACAGTCATTTGGTCTTTAATATCTAGTACTACTGCCCCTTGTATTGAAGTCCTGGTATGGCGCTGTGGGATAATGCACTGAACCATAAGGACGGTTTGAACTGCAAGGTTGGCGGTTCAAATTCAGCAGCTGCTTCTTGGAAACCCTACACAGGGTCACTATGAGTTGGAACTGACTCAAAGGCACTTAACAACAATACCCTTGTATTATGTCCATTGTTGTCTTTGTTTCAGGCCCTTGGTATTTTTCCATGACCCTAGTGGTCACAAATGGTTATCATTCAACTATTAAACTAAAGGTCAACAGCTTGAATCCATCTAGAAGAACCACAGAAGAAAGGCCTGGTGATGTGCCTATGGAACAGTTCTACAACACCTGGGATTGCCATGTGTCTGAACTGACTTGTTAGCAATCTTATTGTTTTAGTTTTGGGCATATTTCTTATAGATTTTGTGGTGGTTGTGGTTATGTGCCATGGAGTCTAAACTGACTCATAGCGACCCTGTATAGGGTTTCTGAGGGTGTAAATCTTTACGTGAGCAGAAAGCCTCTTTCTCCGGTGGAACAGCTGGTAGTTTCGAACTGCTGACCTTGAGGTTCGCAGCCCGATACTTAGTACTCTATTAATTGACCTGCTCCAGTTTCATGCTCTTTCCTTATATCTTCCATGTTATTGTTTTAAGGCTCTCGAGTTGGTTCTGACTCATAACAACCCTCTATAGGGTTTCTGAGGAGAAACTGATGAGTTTGAACCACCAACTTTATGATTCAAACCACCAACTTTATGATTCAAACCAATTTTGTAATCTAGTGCATTAACCCAAAGCACCACACCAGGATTCCTACACTTGTCATAATTGTATCACTCAAATGCAAATTTCTTCAGGGCTTTCCCTTGCTTAAAGCTCTTTCTTTGCTCTACATACAATTCAGAATTTATACATATAAAGCTCCTCAATGATCCTGGCCAGCCTTTGTCTTCAAGCCTCAGGCTTGGAACATCCTAAGGTTTTACCCTTCAACTCAAACTGAACACATCCCAATTTCCTGAACCAAAGTGTTCTTCAGTTCTTGTACTTTGCATATTTTACTCTATCTAACTGTATTTCCCATTCCTCCATTGTCCACTTAATTACTATTCTTTCTTTTTTTTTAAAAGAAGCTTTGGCCAGTTTTACTAAAGAAAAAAAAAATTTTTTTTTAAATAAAAATGATTTATTTTTCACCAGTCTGTTCTGGCATGCTTCTATCAATGACAGCCAGTGTGCAGACTCTGTGGTATTTCCTACACACTATGCCCCGTTAAATATTACTGCCCCTGTAGTGATGGACACCAGTTTTGGCTAACATGACGTAGTACTTGATCTTGGATTTCCTCAATGCCGAGGAGTTGGAGAGGATGATCAACTTTGCTTTGCTTTGCTGGACCATCTTCAGAGTCTGCATGTAAGCCCAGCACATATTTCCCGCTTTTCATTGCAAGTTGGAGCTGTGAGTTGATCGACTCCAGAGACTTTTTCTTCTTTGTGGTCACCATCTTCCCACCTTAGGTGTGGGAAGGCCCCCAAGTAGGAGCAGCTGCCAAGATGGCCAGGGAGGGAGAAAGGAAAAAAAACCTTACTATTCTTTCTTAAGACTCATGTTGTATTTCCTTCTAGAAGTCTTCTCTTAGCTCCCCTCCTTCTGCAAAAGAATAACATCATTAAGGAGAAGAAATCATACCAAATTATATTGCTCAGTTTCTAGCATAGGCTTTCCCTAAGCCTTGCTGAATAAGGGAATGAATTAAATTCACACTTAAAACATTGTTGATGTCCATTTGTTTATTTTTTTTTTAATACAAAAATATATACATAGGTATGTATGCACACACATATATATATGAATAGGAGCTCAGGCTGCTAACCTCAAGGTCAGCAGTTCGAAACTATCAGTCATTCAACAGGAGAAAGATGAGGCTTTCTGTTCTCCTAAAGATTTACAGCTTCATAAACCCTATGCAGAGTCACTATAAGTTGGAACCGACTCCATGGCACAGAATCACCACCACCACTGTATTCTTGTCAGGATCCCTGGTAGTGTAGTGGGTTACGAGTTGAGCTGAAGATTCAAGCAGACAGTTTGGCATTTTGAGTTCAGGAGTTAAAGGGAACCAGCAAGTCTTATGCTCACTGGTGACCACCTGGGTCTATGTGTGAGTGGAATTGGAGAAAATACAGCAATGAAGATACAGGTTGGGTTTGGACATGTTCTAATGGCACCCTTAGCCTTTGATATAAGAAGAGAGGGAAGACTGACTGGTTGCTAGTTTAGGGAGGTGTGTGAACTACTGAGCCCAAGGGCGTTGACCTATCCCATGGGGGCTAGGGCTGAGAGTGAGGGTTCCCGCTGGTTTGAAGTACATGGAGGTGTTCGTAGCTGGTACCCATTTGACCTAGCTTAGGTGGCTAGGGTTGAGCTGACCAAAACTTGACCACATGAAGATAAAGATGTTTGACAGTGTAAGTATAAATTGCTGCAGTTAGACTTTAGACTGAACTTTTGCTCATGGATGCAGTTGCTTAAAATTAGAATGGAAAAGTCTTCATATCAAGGAACATGCTTGTCTTTTCAGTGTACTGGGTTGGTGGTGTTGTTAAATGCTGTCGAGGCGGTTCCAACTCAGTGTTAGTCCAATGCATTAACCTACAACACCACAGTAGGTTGATGGGGATGGACAATTTAAACATTGGCTATTAAAAATTGGGGGATATAGATGCATGAAGTGGCTGACTTAAAAGCTTTCATGGGTGTGCTTAGTTTTATAACAGATGATCTAAGGACCATAGTTAAGGAAGACCATGAGTGGAGCTTGGGCTCCCTACCTGGAAAAGCGGCTACATCAGAGATGGTAGCAGGGGTAGTAGTATAGAAAGACAGAGCAGCTATGAATTCTAGGCCAATGGAATGAGTAAGGCTGTGTGTCTACGGGCAGAAGGCTAGCTTGAATAAAGTGCCTTTGGGGCTTTTGAATCAATATATATTTCTTGTTTTGTTTTACAGTGTATATCACATACTTTTACTTTGTTGATTTGTGACATTTAAGATGAAAATGGTGCCAGTGGGTTTTGGATTATACATGTTTTAGTTAGGTACAAATATGACTTTACAATTTTCTTTATTTAGAGATTATGCATATAGTTTGTAGGTGCCAAGTTGACAAGGGTAGAATGTAATGGATAGTGTTTTGTGTCAACTTGACCAGGCCAGGATTTTCAGAAGTTTAGCAGTTGGGATGTGATGAAACCTAATATAGGCATAGTTAAGTCTATGATGAGCAGCTATGAGCAGCCAATCAATTAAAGGGATGCTTCCTTGGGATGTGTTCTGCTGCCAGTATACTGGACATGTAGGAGGGACTCTCGTTCTCTCTTTGGCAGGAGACCTGGAACTCTGTAAATGTAAGATAATAATCTTCTCCTTATACACATACATATATATGTTTCACTTGTTTTGCTTCTCTGGAAAACCCTACCAAAGACAGAATGTTATATTACCTCTATGCAAGGGTCAGTAAAATTGACAATGTGGCTGTGGTCTCCATGGTGCTTAAGTGATTTTTTTTGGAGGTGCCTCAGGGAGATAGAAAACAGAACTCTCAAGGCTGTCAAATCATCTTTCAGCACTTTTGGGTGTGCTCCACTTTCGTTCTTTTGTTACACTAAATGAAAAACTTGGAAAAATAGATTCCTCATGAGTGCTGCAAACAATGTTTGTAAGCCCAGTAGTTTGAAAAGTATAACCAGATGTGTTCTAAAGACACTGCAATGTGGTGCAACTCCAGGGTAACTCTAGAGCTCTTCATAGTTTTTCAAGAAGGAAAGCATTAGACAAGTTTGTGTTCCCTCATAGTTGTTTTCCCACTCTGTGCCTAATTGCAGAAAATCACGGTAGCCTCTTAGGTTCATGATGGTTGGTGGTACAAAGATATAAGCAAATTTCTCCAAAATATTGAGATGATGCACATAGGATTTAAAAAAAAAAAAGGCCGAGAGGATATGTTTTCTTGATTAAATGCTTTGGAAAAGGGAGA